TATGACATCTTTTTTGATATTCTCATAAGTAATGACATCTTCATAACGTTCGGATTTAACTAATTTGGATTTAACTAATGTCTTTTTTTTTATGTTGACACTCTTTTCTCCACATTGCCCATATTTTGTTAATATTGACAGAACCTGTGGTCCAGTAATTCTACTACTTCACTTTTTTTAGTGTTCCATAAGGTTATAAGACTCCATCATCCAGCACAATACTGTTTATGATGCAACTCTAATCATTATTATAAGGCCTAATTGTTTTTGATGTGCACAGTTAATTGTTGCTCGTTCGAAAGTCAGGTCAACTCTCATAATGCTCCGTAACTTTTAGCTGGTAAATAATGGCAGAAACTCTAAAGAAAGGGAAAAGGTGACATACCTGAAAAGATAAATTTAAAATGAGAAAATATTTGTTGTGCTAATGTACTGCAGTAGTGTAGTAATAGTAGGGCACTGGATCTTTTAGTTCAATAAATCCAATTCGCCCTCGTTTACGAATTTTGTAATGCCTCGCCCACGTAGTGGGTCCTAACATTGAGTGTAAACGGTTAAGGTTTATTGACAAGAATATTAATGACAGAATTCTCATTCCTTATATTCTTGTACTCTGGTGCAATCATAACCGAAAAAGGCTGTAAGTACAAAAAAAAAAAGCGAGGATGTACAAAAACAGAAAAAGAAATTATAAATTAAAAATAATAAAATAGTAAAGGCATAAGAAAGTGACACACTGTCACTTATCATGGATGGCCGTACAACATAATTTCTTAAAAGCAGGTTGCACAGTTTGACATTCCAGACATCGATAAGACATTGCAAATGTTATTAATAGTAGGTACAAACATTTTATATAGTGTCACATGTGCAAAGTTGGTGGGAAAACTGACTTGAGGAATCTATGCATAATTTGGCGCCATTTTGTCGGGTTTGTTTACATTTTGGTAAGAGTTTTCAGGCAGCATGAAAAAACATAAAATTGCAATAGAAATTATGGATCCTGTGATATTTCATATCGTCGGAGGCTTTCTTATGTAATCGGGTATAAACTTACATTGCGGTTGGCTAAACCTGAAGATTTGAGATATGAATTTGAGGACTTCATTGCTATGAAGAATTATTAATTTTTCTACTCTCTTAGACAGAAGAGTTCTAAACAGAAAGATGACTCTTGACAAGACTGATCTAAGTTTCAGACCACAAATACGTATAAAGTGATAAAAAGATAACATTACAAATTTACTTAGGCAATAATTAAAATACACTCACCTGTTAATTTGTATTCAGTGATCATTTCCACTCTACCCAAGACCAAGTAAGCTAAGCCTAGTCTAGTTCATCGTGTAGGATAAATTTAAGTCATTTTGTCGTTGTCCCCACACGCTTAAAATTCAGTAGAACATTTTGCAGTTTTTGACAAAGGGTGATAATAGAACAGGAATGAGTGGTGGAATATCGGGTCAGCATTTCAAGATCTCCATGCATCTCACCATATTAAATTTAATTTAAGAAATTCACAAAAATCCCTTCGACGTAGCCTTGTTTTGATGTGGGATAAGATGGCGGCGTGACGATAGACTGACCTCGTGTCTTTACCGATGACGTCATACCTACTTTGATTGGCAGGTCGAAACTATCATAATGCAAAATCACTTTTTCCGTAAATTAACAGCAATCCTGTTATAATTTAAGGAAACATAAAGTTCCTGTCAAAAAAACAGTATGACCACGCATGCGCAGACTTCGCTTATCTACAGACAAGTTTGGACATACATGATAATAACACAGAATTGACGTAAATTTACTGACAAATAACGTAATGGTTCTTAAATGACATACGACCAAGATTAATTTACGTAAAATAACATATTTCCTTATCGGGAACTAACATTCTGTTAATGTAAGAACAAAGTCCGTAAATCAACAGAAAAATATGTATATCAGCAGAAATTTACGTATATCAACAGAAAATATGAAGTACATTTCTGTAAAAAAAACGGACTTTTTTACAGTGTAACTGTCTTCACTATAACTAAAAAAACGTTTATAGAATAACCCGCATATCAAAGTTTGTTTCATTTAGCCATAAAGAAGTACAATCAGAACTTGAAGTGAAGCCACTGTTTATGTTAGCACAAGAATATGCAAATACAAATGACGCGTTTCAGACCAAATCTATTTGAAGAAAATACAAATGGGTTATTACAATAGTTGGCTTGAACCTTCGAGACTATAAGAATCAATCCAGCCATCACGATAGTTTACGGATAACTTGAGGACTTATCTTTCGGTAGATATTGATAAATCTATATGTTGCAGCTTGTACTGGGCCTGGGCTTGTAGAAGATCCTTATAACTGTACACGATACAGAGAATGTGTTAATGGTGAATATGTTTCAAGGCCATGTGCTCCTGGTACTGGTTTCAGTCCATCTCTTGGGATTTGCGACCATCTCTATGATTTACCTAGCTGTAATCAAGACAGTAGTAACGGTAAGTTTCTTTTACAGATTTATGACACGAAGGTTCAACGTCTTCTCTGGGTTCAGTACAGCAATCGTAATCACAAAAGTCTAATTTGGGTAGATATCTATAAATTCGTATGTTACAGATTGTATTGAATCTGAACGCGTAGAAGATCCTGATAATTGCACACGATACAGAGAACGTGTTAATGGTGAATATATATCAAGATCTTGTCCTCCTGGTACTGGTTTCAATGCATCTCTG